TTTGAGACCCTATCTCTACTAAAAATAAAAATAAATTACCCAGACATGGTGGCACACACAAGTAATCTCAACTACTCGAGAGGCTGAGGCACAAGAATTGTTTGAACCCAGGAGGTAGAGGTTGTGGTGAGTTGAGATTGTGCCACTGCACTTCAGCCTAGGTGACAGAGGAAAACTATTTAAAAAAAAAAAAGGACCAGTCAAATGATTGTCTTAGAAAAACATTTACTCCCAAAATGAGGTGCCTTATGATCTCCAACACTAGATGTGAAAGCAAATGGAGGCTGGGTGTGGTGGCTCACACCTATAATCCCAGCAACTTTGAGAGGCCGAGGCAGGCAGATCCACGAGGTCAGGAGTTCAAGACCAACCTGGCCAACATGCTGAAACCCCATCTCTACTTTACAAAAATTAGAGGGGCACGATGGTGGCACGTGCATGTAGTCCCAGCTACTCTGGAGGCTGAGGCAGGAGAATGGCTTGAACTCAGGAGGCCGGGTTTGCAGTGAGCTGAGATCGTGCCACTGCACTCCAGCCTGGGTGACAGAGCAAGAGACTCCATCTCAAAAAAAGAAAGAAAGGAAGAAAGGAAGAAAATGGAAACTTTTATTTATTTATTTTTAATTTTAAATTTTTTGAAAAGTATGATCTTAAATCAATAACTTCACTTTCCAGCTTAATAAATTAGGGGAAAAAAAAAAACAAACTAAACCCCAAGCAAGCAGAAGAAAGGAAAAAATAAACACTAGAGTGGAAATAAATGAAATAGAGGATAGAAAAATAACAGAAAATACACCCTGGGTAATGTGGTGAGACCCCATCTCTACAAAAAATTAGCCAGAAATGGTGGCAGGTACCTGTAGGCCCAGCTACTTGGGAGGCTGAGGTGGGAGGATCACTTGAACCTGGGAAGTAGAGCCTGCAGTGAGCGGAGATTGTACCTCTGCACTTCAGCCTGGGTGACAAAGTGAGACACTGTCTAAAAAAAAAAAAAGAAAAAGAAAAAGAAAGAAAAGAAAAATACCAAAAATAAACCAAACCAAAACTTGTTTTTTCCAAAAGATCAGCAAAATTGATAAACCTTCAGCTACACCAAGGAATTTAAAAAAGAGAGAAAACTTAAACTACTAAAGTTATTTTTAAATTTATTTTTATGTTTTTGAGACAAAGTTTTGCCTGGGCTGGAGTGCAATGACACAATCTCAGCTCACTGCAACCTCCGCTTCCCGGGTTCAAGCGATTCTCCTGCCTCAGCCTCCTGAGTAACTGGGATTACAGGCATCCATCACCACGCCCAGCTAATTTTTGCATTTTTAGTAGGGATGGGCATTCACCATGTTGGCCAGGATGGTCTCAAACTCCTAACCTCAGGTGATCCACCTGCCTCAGCCTCCCAAAATGCTGGTATTAACGGATGTGAGCCACCACACCTGGCCTCAAACTACTAAAATTAGAACTGAAAAAGGGTACATTATTCCAATAGACAGGAGGAAAAAAGGGATTAAAAGGGAATACCATGAACAACTGTATGTCAACAAATTAGACAATTTGGATGAAATGGACAAATTTCTACAAAGACACAAAGTACAAAAATGGAATCAAGAAAAACCAGAAGATCTGAACAGGCCTATAACAAGTTAAAAGATAGAAGAGGAAGTAACTTCGCAGTTCATTCAAGGAGGGCAGTACTACCCTGATTCCAAAACCAGATGAAGATATACAAGGAAAAAACCCTGCAGAACAATGGAATTTATGAATAAAGATGTAAAAATCCTCAACAAAACACTAGCAAGCTAAATGCAGGAACATAAAAAGGATTAAACACCATGACCACAAGGGAACTATCCTGGGAATGCCAGGTTGATTTAAGATCTGACAATCAATTAATGGAATACTATAAATTAATAGAATCCAGGGCAAAAAAAAAAAACTTGATCATCTCAATAAATGCAGACAAAGCATGCGACAAAACATGACACTTCTTCATGATAAAAATATTCAACAAAAATAGGATAGAAAAGTTCTCCCTCAACCTGATATGGGATAGAGGGAAGCTATTTTAAAAAATGGTGGCCGGGCGCAGTGGCTCATGCCTGTAATCTCAGCATGTTGGGAGGCCGAGGTGGGTGGATCACCTGAGGTAAGGAGTTTGAGACCAGCCTGGCCAACATGGCAAAACCCTGTCTCTACTAAAAATACAAAAATTAGCTGGGTGTGGTGGCATGCGCCTGAAATCCCAGCTACTAGGGAGGCTGAAGCAGGAGAATTGCCTGAACCTGGGAAGTGGAGGTTTCAGTGAGCTGAGGTCTCACCACTGCACTCCAGCCTGCATGATAGAGTGAGACTCAGTCTCAAAAACAAAACAAAACAAAATACCCAGTGGTAAAAGACCAAAGGTTTTCCTCTAAGATTGGGAAGAAGACAAGGATGTCTGCTCTAATCACTTCTCTTTAACAGTGTACTGGAGCCATGGAAATTAGGCAAGACGAGGAAATGAAATGCATCTAAGTTGGAAAAGAAAAGTAAAACTATTTCTATTTACAGATGACATGATCTTGTATAGAGAAAATTATAAGGAATTCACAAAAAATCATTAGCCCTAATAACTGAGCTCTGAATGTTTGCAGGATACAAGATCAATACACAAAAATTAACTGTACTTTTATACATTAGCAATTAACATCCTAAATATGAAATTAAGCAGTCAATTCCATTTATAATAGCATCAAAAAGAATAAAATCCTTAGGTATATCTTTAACAACAGAAGTGCAAGACTTGTACATTCAGAACTATAAAACGTTGAAAGAAATTTAATGAGCTCTCAGTAGGCCAGGCATGTGACTCACACCTGTAATCTCAGCACTTCAGGAGGCCAAGGTGGGCAGATCACTTGAGGTCAGGAGTTCGAGACCAGCCTGGCTAACATGGTGAAACCCTGTCTCTACTAAAAATACAAAAATTAGCCAGGCGTGGTGGTACACGCCTGTAATCCCAGCTACTTGGGAGGCTGAGGCAAGAGAATCACTTGAACCCGGGAGGCGGAGGTCGCAGTGAGCCAAGATCATGCCACTGCACTCAAGCCTGGGCGACAGAGTGAGACACTGTCTAAAAAAAAAAAAAAAAAAGAGAGAGATCTTAATAAATGAAAAGATCTCACGTGTTCATGGATGGCAAAATTTAATATTGTTAAGATGGCAATATTCCCCAAACTGATCTACAGATTCATTGCAATCCCTACATTAAAAGAATTCCAGCTGGCTTTTTTGCAGAAATTGACAAACTGACCCTAAAATTCTCATGGAATTCAAGGGAGCCAGAAGAGCCAAGACGATTTGTAAAAAGAACAAAGGAGCCAGGTATGGTTCACATTTATAGTCCCAGATATTCGGAAGGTTGAGCCTGGGGTATGGCTGGAGACCAGGAGTTTGAGGCCAGCTGTGCCTTTACAAAAGAAGAAAGGGAAGGGAAGGGAAGGAAGGAAGGAAGGAGAGAAGGAGGGAAAGAAAGAAAAAGAGGACAAAATTTACAAATACTAAATGTATTGTAAGGCTTTAATAATCAAGACTGTGAGGTACTGGCACACAGGAAGGCATGTATATTGATGAAAGAGAAATAAACCCTTACATTTACGGTATGTTGATTTTGGAAAAGGGTCTCAAAACCATTTAACAGGGAAATAATAGTGTATTCAACAAATTGTACTAGAAAAACTAGGTATCCTTGTGCAAAAGAATGGAGCTGGACCCCTATTTCACAAAAACATAAGTCAAAATAGATCAAATACCTAAATGAAAGCTTATTATAAAACTGTTATAACGTAGGAATAAATCTTCATGACCTTTAGTTAGGCAATGGCTTCTTAGCTATGACTTCAAAAACACAAGCAATACAAGAAAAAAATAATTTGGACTTCCCAGGAATTAAAAACTTGTGTTGCAAATGATATCATCAAGAAGGCAAAAAGACAGCCCATGGAATAGGAAAACAAATTGCAAATTACAAACCTGATAATGGACTTGTTTCAAAAGGACAAGGAATCCTTCCTCCCCGCAGCTGCTGGCTGGCATAGGTGGTCTAGGGAACGTCATGTGGTTCAGAAGGACGAGGAATCCTTCCTCCTGTAGCAGCTGGCTGGCCCAGATGGTCTGGGGAATACCAGGTCATTCAGAAGGTTGAGGAATCCTCCCTCCCTGTAGCAGCTGGCTGGCATAGGTGGTCTGGGAAATACCATGTGATTCAGAATGACGAGGAATCTTCCCTCCCTGCAGCAGCTGGCCCGAGTGGTCTAGGGAACACCACATGTTTCAGTGCCAGGATCCCAGACTGGTTTTAAAACATGGGGAATTAACATTTAAGGAGACTATTCTCTTTAACTAATTGCTAGTCTGACTATTCTGCTTCTGGATAGAGTATTTTTTGTTTTTGTTTTTGAGACACAGTCTCTTCCTGTTGCCCAAGCTAGAGTGAAGTGGTGCAATCTCAGCTCACTGCAACCTCCGCCGCCTGGGATTGAACGATTCTCATGCCTCAGCCCCCTGAGTAGCTAAGACCACCACATCCGGCTAAGAGTTTTGTTTTGTTTTGTTTTGTTTTGTTTGTATTTTTAGTAAAGATGAGGTTTTGCCATGTTGGCCAGGCTGGTCTTGAACTCCTGACCTCAAGTGATCTGCCCACCTTGGCCTCCCAATGTGCTGGGATTACAGGCATGAACCACCAGGCCCCACCTAGAGTGATTATTTGAATGGGTTTGTGAGTAAAGGCTCAGTAAACACCTCCTGCCCAACACTGCTCAAAGCTGAGGACCCAGAGGAAAAGTCCCACATTGTCACTAATCTCCATTTCAAATCCAGGAGCCTTTTCTTTCACAAGTGTTGACAGTAGCAGAGGCAAACACAGGAAGCACTTTCCATAACACGAGACTATGAGACTTCCGGATTTGTTTTTAAAGAAACTGCAAAAGAGAAATGGAAAGAGAAGTCCACATAAAAAGTTGCACTTGCACTTTTTGTTTATGGTAGAGTTATTCATGATGGCCAAAAAGCTATAAACCCAAACATCTACCAACAGATGAACGGGTTAGCAAAATGTGGTGTATTTTATATATAACAAAATGTGTATATTATTATAAAGACAATTATATAACAAATGTGTACATTCTATACAATGGGATATTACTTAGCTGTATTTTAATATAATATATAAAAAAGAATAAAGCACTGATATATGCTACAACATGGATGAACCCTGAAAACATGAAAGAATCTGGACACAAAAGATCACATAAAGGATTCCATTCAGATGAAATCTCTGGAAGGGCGAACCCTAGAGACAGGAAGTGAGCCAGTGATTGCAGAGGGCTGTGGGGGGATGGGAGGGGTTGGTAAAGGATACAGGTTTCTTTTTGAGGTGAAGTCAGTGTTGTAGATTGACTGCTGGGATAGTTGCATGTACCAGGAATATAATAAAAAAGATGGCATTGTACACTTTAAGTGGGTGAATTGTACGTCATTTGAATTACACCTCAATAATGCTGTTTTTTTAAAAAAAAAATAAATGCTCAGTGTATGGGTAGTTAAAAATGAAACACCCTCATAACATTATTGAAAGGGAGTTTGGATCCACATGTTGGGGGAACTCGGGAAGCCGTTTCCCATGGAAACATTACTTACGGTATAAACGGCCCTTTTAGTTTAAAGCCACACTCTGTGTGACATCATTTTGTAGTGTAATTAAGATGGTGGTGTTTAAATAATGAGTACTGTGAAGTTTGTCAGAATCAAAATGGAGTCACTTGGGTTAAAATGCTGAAAAATAGAGCCAGGGAAGGCCACGAAGGGAGAATTTTCATGTACAAAAGCCTGACAACAAGAGCTACTACAGAAGACTGCAAAAATCACAACCTCACCAAGAGGCCATCACAACCCACACACACACACATACATACACACACATACACACAGGTACATACACACACAGATACATCACAGCCACACACACACACACACACACGCTTCTGTGAGGAACACCTGCCCAGCAACTGCCTGTCCAGCCTCCAACTGGCACCATCCTTGGTATTGATCACTGTGCTAAGGATAATTATCTCTAAACACTGTATAATCCTCCTCATTTTTCCTTTAAAAGCCTTTGTCTTCCTTCAGCTCCCTGAATCACGCAGACTTTGCCACTGCACATGTATTCCCACTGCAATGCAAATAAACGTGTTTTTTTTAGAGTATTTGTTATTTAGGTTCATAACGCAAATAAATGTGCTCAGGATATTATTTAAACACTGTCTTCTAGAAGTGACACCCAAGCAAACATTACCCAGTGTCACCACAAGACTGTTTATCGAGGTCTGTTACATAACTGGACATCCTAACTTCTATTTTAGGTACACAAAATATTGTGCCATTTATTCCTGGAAGCCACTGCTCTGTCAGCTGGTTAAGTAAAATAAGAAGATCACATTAAAAAGGGGGAAGGGCAAAGAGAAAAGGTGGGGGAAGACAGAGAGGGGGACATTCAGTGTAGCTCTTTTACAATAAGAGTTTGATAGTTAAGTGAATTTCAAGTTTGAATAAAATGCACTTAAAGCTAATTCACGTGGGCCTTTATTCAGTTTGAAAGAATATTGCACATTAAAAACAGAAGAATGCAATGGAAACCGTCTTCTTAATTTGATGGTGAATACACTTCCTTCAGTTTAGATAATTAAACAAAAACAGTCCTATGTAATTCCCCTGCACATATTCCCCTGTGCCTGCACATGTTTCTGTATTGAATTGTGTCCTATGATACAGATGCAGCAGAAGCGCAAGAGGTCAAATACACAAAGAAAGATCTTTGCTCAAAAGACAGTAACAGAGGAAAAGCAGGTACCGTTTTCTCAATGTGTAGCTTGGCTCTGCCAATCTTCTTATCTCTGTAGTTTTTCTCCCACTGTGGAACAGGCAAAATGATATTTTCATCTCACAGGGTCACTGTGAACCTTACATGATCTCATCCATGTAAGACTCGTGACAGCATCTGGTGCTCGGCTGCCATGGAGCCAATGCCAGCCATCACCATTGCATTTCCACTGTCATTCATCTCTGATTTCTTTCCAGAGTTAGGCCTTTGGAAAGGTGGACATAAAATCTTCTTAAGTAAAAACCAGGTTTTAAGGTGAGCATCAGTGCAATAAGTTTAAGGAGGGAGAGGAGAGAGAGAGAGAGAGAGAGAGAGAGAGAGAGAGAGAGAGAGAGAGAGAGAGAGAGAGAGAGAGAGAGAGTGTGTGCTTCTAACGGCACCTGCATTCTGGTTCCCTTACAAAAAGGAGCAAACTCAGAATACAAAATGGAACTGCCATGATCTTTGCAGATGCCTTTCTTCAAAGCTGAGTTCTGCTATCCCTCTAATCAGAAAGATGAACCATCAGAAGAGCAAATCTGTTCCAACTTGTCCTAAGAGCTGGAGAAAGCCAGACCAGGCTAATGCTTGTTTCTACCCATTCAACAGCAAAATTAGTCACCTGGACTTTATTAAGAAACTGAATATGTTCCAAGAATTCCATGCATATAAGTGCTTATAGATGCCAGTCATCAAGATCTATTAAGGGCAATTCCTCATTTTCAAGAGTCTGAATACGATACTCTCTGCAACTCCACATTCCGGAGAAATGTTTTTCAGGCCACAGATTTTCTCTAGTCTTGTAGCCGGTAATTAGAATATGGTTTTTTGAAGAAGTCATAAAAACCCTTTGGAAAACTTCTCTTTGGAGCATTCAATTCATTCTCTCTTTTTTTTTTTTTTTGAGACGGAGTTTCGTTCTTGTTACCCAGGATGGAGTGCAATGGCGCCATCTCGGCTCACCGCAACCTCCGCCTCCTGGGTTCACGCAATTCTCCTGCCTCAGCCTCCTGAGTAGCTGGGATTACAGGCACGCGCCACAGTGCTCAGCTAATTTTTTTGCATTTTTAGTAGAGATGGGGTTTCACCATGTTGACCAGGATGGTCTCGATCTCTTGACCTCGTGATCCACCCGCTTCGGCCTCCCAAAGTGCTGGGATTACAGGAGTGAGCCACCGCGCCCAGCTCAACTCATTCTAGTAGGTCACAGGACAACTAAACTATCCAGGAATAATGCAGATCAAATGGTTTTCTCTAAGTCATGCATCAAACAATACTTTTGTTTTAAGCACTAGGGGAATTACGACTTCAAAGAAAAATCAATTTCCTAGTCTTTAGAGTTTAATGCACATTATTACATGCTCAAGAACAAATCATAAAAAATTGATTTTCTTTTCAATGTTGAGAAGTTGCCAAAAAAGGCATGAGCTATGACATTCCTAAACAGAACAACTGAATATTTTGTGTTCCAGCAACCACAGGAAAAGAAGGGCTCATCAAAAGCAAGCAGAATGTGCTCCTCCAACGTTCCCCAGACACCGCGTCATATTTCACTTTGAAATGCATTGCCATTAACCACTTTTTAAAAAGACTAAAATTGCCACAAGGAAGAATAGGCGGGCCAGCAAATGTTATATTCAATCTGTTTTGTTTTGTTTTGTTTTGAGACGGAGTTTCGCTCTTGTTACCCAGGCTGGAGTGCAATGGCTAGATCTCGGCTCACCACAACTTCCGCCTCCTGGGTTCAGGCAATTCTCCTGCCTCAGCCTCCTGAGTAGCTGGGATTACAGGCACGCGCCACCATGCCCAGCTATTTTTTTGTATTTGTAGTAGAGACGGGGTTTCACCATGTTGACCAGGATGGTCTTGATCTCTTGACCCCGTGATCCACCCTCCTCGGCCTCCCCAAAGTGCTGGGATTACAGGCTTGAGCCACCGCACCCGGCTATGTTCAATCTGTTTTATATGAAAAATATAAAAATAAACACTTTATCAGTCACCACAGCTCCTTTATTAATTCAATAGAAAAAAATAATCGAAGGCACATGCTTTTGGATGCAAAGCACAGGCAGAGTCCTCGCCACTGCAAAGGGAAAGAGGGAGGGACTCCTAGACCATCCAGGAGGCAGAACTCATCGGGTGCCCGCGCTCTGCCCGGCGGGAGAACACGCGCCTTTCGCACTCACCGGCGTGGCCAAGGCCTCCCTGGCCCCTGAAAAAGGCCACCATTTATGGTGCCTTACTTACTTTTCAAAGAAAATGAGACATGTGTACCTCCCCCTCCCCGCTTTTTCTTTTTTCTGCTCGGGCCACCCTCGGGGCAGGGTCCCAAGGAGGAGGCCGGCTGGGGCCCGAGCCCAGAGGCCTCCCTCCCTCCCTCCCTCCCGCGCCGGGTCCATTCACTCTAGAGCAGGCAGAGTCATCTGGCTTCTGTGCTGCAGGGTGAGGCCTGCGTGGGAATCTAGGGAAGGCCGGAGGCAAACACTGCAGGAGGAGGTGGGGGAGTCTAGCAGGGAGGCAAGGGGAGGGGAGGGGAGGGGAGAGGAGGAGAGGAGATGGGGGAGCAGGAAGGCCAGAGGAGGGGAGGGGAGCCGGGAGGGGAGGTGAGAGGCGAGCAGGGAGGCCAGGGGAGGGGAGGTGAGAGGCAAGCAGGGAGGCCAGGGGACGGGAGGTGAAAGGCGAGCAGGGAGGCCAGGGGAGGGGAGGGAGGGGAGGGGAGCCGGGAGGGGAGCGGAGGAGAGACGGGAGCGGGCGAGGGTGCGGGGCAGGGAGCGCGAGGCGTCTGCGGGGACCTGGGCAGCTCCTCCCAGGTCGGTTTCCCCCTTCCGGGGAGGCGCTGGGTCGGGCCTTCTCCTCACCGGGGTCGCTGTGGGGACCGGTCCCCGGACTGATGCCCTGGGCTGGGATCCCTGCTTCCCGCCCGCGCGCTCTTGCTTCCTGGGGGGGCCACCGCCAGCGCCCCGCAGGGCAGGGTACTGGGACAGGGGACGGGCGGGTCTTCGGGGACTTCCATCCACTGTGTCCACGCCGCGCCTGGGGAGCGGGAGGAGCAGGCGGGTTCTCGCCCTCTGAGCCCAGGCGAGGAAGGGCCTTGGCGAGGCAGCCCGGGTCCTCCAGGCGACACCCTCGGTCTCCGAGGCCAGTTCTCACCCGCAGACATCCGCGTCTTCCAGTGCCGAGGCCGCTATAACCAAACACTGTAGCCTGGGTGCTTCCTCAGCCGCACAACACGCTTCCTCCCGGTTCTGCAGGCCGGGAAGAGGTGGCTCCTGTGAGGGCCTGGGCGTCCCTCAGGGACGGCGCCTTCCAGCTGCCTCCGAGTTCAGCAGAAGGGGCGAGGGAGTCCCCAGCCCTTTGACTGAGGCCAGGACCCATCCATGAAGGAGGTGCCTGTGGACTTAACCGCGGCCCCAAGACCTCACCTGTTAATGCTGCCACGTTGGGTGTAAGGTGCCAAGCTGCGAATGTTGGGGCCACCGAGCTCCTTAGGAGCACACGGATGCCATGCGCTCAGTTTCTGATGTTCTCACAGGCCCAGCACCTTCTTATATTAAAATAGAAAAGGAAACAGCATTCCGGCATGATGCTTCATTAAAGATTATCACATGCAGATTAAAAAGCGTTAGAGATATTCTAAATCATTAGTATTGGTTGAAGTTGCCATTAGAGACTAAACAGGTTTTTTTTGTGCTTCTTTGTTTTATTTCTCTACAACAAACTATGGTTTTTATAGTAATACGAAAGACCAGTAGGATAAAAAAGTTTTTTTAAACAAAACTTTACAAATCCACGTTTATATTCAAATCAGCAATGATCCCTGCAGTGCGTTGGGTCCTTTTTCCCCCAAAATTATACGTGCAAGTCCTAGCCCCTCACACCTTTAAGGTGGCCTTATTTGGAAACAGTCTTTGCAGAAGTAATAAGGTAAGGATCTCCAGATGAGAGCAGCCTACGTGGGGTACAAGGCAGAAAATCAAGGCCTGAGTGCGTGTGGACACACACCCCCACCCCACCCCCCAGGGACGAGGCCCCGGCCACTCATCTTCCTTGTCACAGGGCCAGGCACAGTGGGGCTCACCCCGAGTCACAGGCCTTGGTTCCCTGCCAGCTAGCAGAATTATTCAGATAGCCTGTCACATCCTCCCATGGGACACGGCACCTGCCTTCTTCATACTACACAGCCTGCACTCCACAGCCGCTGGGCGTTCATTCTGTTCCTAGATGTGGCCCTGCCTGGCAGGCCCTGTCTTCCTCCCTGGGGCAAGTAAGTAGAGTGACTCACACGTCACCTGGCCAGTGTCAGGCATCAAGTGTGCAGCCATCCGCATGGCCCCAGGGCATAAATTCCTCCCTCATGAGACCTGGTTATCCAGGTAGGCCCTAGACCCAATGACTGTGTCCTGCTAAGCAGCAGAGAAGAAAGAGCTACACAAAGAAGAAAAGAGGTCTGGAGAAGAAGGTAGGGGCAGAGCCTGGAGGGACAAAGGGACACAGCCTCAAGGCAGGAAACCCTGGCAGGAGCATCCAGAAGCCCAGGGGGGCTTCTCCCCCAGAGCCTCTGCCTCCCTCAGGGACCCTGTCCACACCAGACTGCAGAGCCTCACCTCCTCAGGGGGACATGCCCTACCTACACCAGACTGCAGAGCCTCACCTCCGCAGGGGAACATGCCCTGCCCACACCAGACTACAGAGCCTAAGCTCCCCAGGGGGACATGCCCTGCCCACACCAGACTGCAGAGCCTCACCTCCACAGGGGGACATGCCGTTCCCACACCTGGCTGCAGAGCCTCACCTCCACAGGGGAACATGCCCTGCCCACACCAGACTGCAGAGCCTCACCTCCGCAGGGGGACATGCCCTGCCCACACCAAACTGCAGACCGTCACCTCCACAGGGGACACGACACTGTCCACACCACACTGCAGATCCTCACCTCCACAGGGAACATGCCCTGCCCACACCAAACTGCAGACCGTCACCTCCACAGGGGACACGACACTGTCCACACCACACTGCAGATCCTCACCTCCACAGGGAACATGCCCTGCCCATAACAGACTGCAGAGCCTCACCTCCGCAGGGGGACATGCCATGCCTACAACAGACTGCGGAGCCTCACCTCTGCAGGGGGACATGACCCCATCCACACCAGACTACAGAGCCTCACCGCTGCAGGGTACTTGCACTGCCCACACAAGACTGCAGAGCCTCACCTCCACAGGGGACATGCCCTGCCCACACCAGACTACAGAGCCTCACCTCCGCAGGGGGAAAGGAACCTGTCCACATCAGACTGCAGAGCCTCACCTCTGCAGGCGGACAAGACCCTGTCCACACCAGACTGCAGAGCCTCACCTCCACAGGGGACATGCTCTGCCCACACCATACTGCGGAGCCTCACCTCCGCAGAGGACATGCCCTGCACACACCAGACTGCAGAGCCTCACCTCCACAGGGGACATGCCCTGGACACACCAGACTGCAGAGCCTCACCTCCACAGGGGACATGCCCTGCACACACCAGACTGCAGAGCCTCACCTCCACAGGGGACATGCCCTGGACACACCAGACTGCAGAGCCTCACCTCCACAGGGGACATGCCCTGCCCACCCCAGACTGCAGAGCCTCACCTCCACAGGGGACATGCCCTGCCCACACCAGACTGCAGAGCCTTACCTCCGCAGGTGGACAAGACACTGTCCACACCAGACTGCAGAGCCTCACCTCCACAGGGGACATGCCCTGCCCACACCAGACTGCAGAGCCTTACCTCTGCAGGCGGACAAGACCCTGTCCACACTAGACTGCAGAGCCTCACCTCCAAAGGGAGACATACCCTGGCCACACTAGATTGCACAGCCTCACCTCCACAGGGGGACATGCCCTGCCCACACCAGACTGCAGAGCTCACCCCGCACGGGGCCATGCAATGCCCCCACCAGACTTCAGACCCTCACCTCCGCAGGGGGACATGCACTGCCCACACCAGACTGCAGAGCCTCACCTCCGCAGGGGGACATGACCCTGCCCACACCTTGCTGTCAGATTTCTGGCCTCCAGGTCCCTAAGAAAATGATTACTGGTGTTTTAGGCATTCAATGTGTGGCAGCTTGTGAGAGCAGCTGCTCTCAGAGGCTACAGTACCTTTCAGGCAGGAGGGTCCCATCCTGCCATAATTTTCAATAACATTTTCTTCTTGTTCTGACAGCAAAAATACCACATAGGGAGTCTGGCTGGCGCAGCTGCCTGAAACACCTGCAGCAGGTGAGAAGTCAGTTCAGAGCCCCGTCTCTTCCTGCCCTAACTCCAAGGCCCGCATTCCTAAACCAAGGCTCAGGGCGGTCCCCACATCGCCTCAAATGGCATCTTCAGCTGTGTCCCTGGCAAGTGCATGATAGTCAGATACTCACAGAGCAGACGGTGCTGCCAGCGCGCCTCCCAGCCGGACTGACTACACTGTGACTGCAGTTTCTCAGGTGCAGTTGGAGGCAGCGGCCCTCCGTGCCGAGTGGCCTGCGCTCCCCTGCTCAGCAGACTCAGTGGAGGTCCACCCGTCAGAGGGCCTTTGCCTTAAAGGAAGATAGATGTAAACCAGCCTTGGCGAGAGTCCTGGTGTCACCTAGTAACGTTTTGTCCCCATTGCTTGATGTTGAGACAAACATGTTTTCCGCAAGCATGAAATTAAATGTTACTAAATTAAACTCAGAGCCTTCCCTGTAGCCTCTCATCCTAGCGTTTGCATCAGCCGACAACCTGCTATCCACACTCCGTTTCAAACCACCCTGTTTCCATCCCATCCTTCAGCAGACACCGCTCTGAGGCTCAACTCCTCTTTACAGCAGAACTCAAAACAGACTTCCATACACCAATCCAATCTCCTCGCCAGCTGACACTGATTGGGTTTTCACTGCCGAAGCAGCTCTGTCCCCACAGCCGTGACCTCCAGGTGCCCTCGCAATGCCAGCCCTCAGTCCCCATCTCTCTTAGACTCCTGGTGTCTGATGGCCCCACGCTCTCTCCTTGGTGGAACATTTCCTAACACCTCACTCTGGACACGATGCCCTTCCCATCCTCTCAGCTCACAGGTCACCCCTTCTCAGCCTCGCCTTCCTGACCCCGGGATGGTGCAGTGCAGGCTCGTGGTGGACTCTCCTCTCTGAAGCCATGCCCTCTGGCACTGTGTCTGCTGTGCCCCTCCTTCCTATCTGCAGGACCACCGGGTTGTCTCGACCTAAATGGCTCTGCCCTCATTCCCCTGGGAGGAGATGAGAAGGGACAACCTCACACAGGGCCAGGGCCAGGGCTGGGCAGGTTGGAAGGGAGGAAGACCCCTGTGCTGGCACAGAGGTGGCAGGAGGAGGTGGCAGTACAGCTCAGGCCTGCTGGGAGAGAGCAGAGAGTGAGCCTGGGGCTGAGCTCACAGGACATCCCTCAAACTGAGTTCAATTCCTCTCTACACATTTGAGAACAACACACAAGCCAGCCCTTTACATCGACATTTCCAGACATTGGTATCTTGTTAAGTGCCTTAATGCAATTCTGAGATCGTACAGTGAGGCCGCACACACATCTAACAATAATCTACGTTGCACTTAACCTAAATCACTGTGGGCAATTAGTATAACTACCAAGTCGCCTGACTTACAGCTTCTACTTGGTTCTATATGAATTGTGCTCAAGCAAAATCTAGGACACATTCAATCAACTAGTTAATTTAATATTTAGTAAATTGGTAATAACAAGGACTCTGTTTTCCAAGTATCAAAGGTTGTGGAAATGTAATATTGAATTTTATTTATAACTATGTGATAATTACACTTAAAATATGATAATTAGATTAATGTAGGAATCAAACTGGAGGGAGAATCAGGGGCAGGAACCAACCAGGTGCAGAGCTGGGGCTGAGCGAGGGAAGGGGCTGCGCAGCATTCACGGCACTCACCAGGGATGGTGTCTGCAGGGCAAGAAAAACAACACACACACACATCCCTACACATGTATACACACCACACACACATGCACACACATGCATACACCTCCCAACATATACACACATCCCCATACATGAAAAAACACCACATACACACCACACATGTACATCTCCATACATGTATACACACTATAGACACACACCCTTGCATGTATACACACCACAGACACACACACCCATACATCACACATCCCAGTATATTAAAACACACCACATATACACAGCACACACCCCCATACATGTGCAAATACCATATACATACATTATACACACCACACACATCTCCATACATGTATACAAACCACAGACACACACACCCATACATTACACATCCCAGTATATTAAAACACACCACATATACACACCATACACACCCCCATACATGTATACACACCACAGACACAGGCACACACACACCCATATGTGTATAGACACCACACAGTCCTACACACCCATACCTGTACACACACCCCCACACATGTACACACACCCCCCACATATGCCCATTTACAAACACAGAGATACACTTTTTTACAAACATATTCCATTATATAAGAAGTCTCATTGCCAAATTTGAACTTTGAAAAACAGATTGCTGAAGATAGGGAACATGATTCTGAAAACTGGATTTTTCAGGTTTCATTTTCATTCCAAACATTTTAAGTGCACTTTATTAAATATAAAGAAGTTCTTTTCTAATAATAACAGCGAACACAGATTTTAGACGAAAGGGCATGCTTTCCATGTCCAGAGTCTAAAATAAACCCGTCTGCACAGCTGGAATGACACACGGCGTTTCTGAACTGACCCGGCAGTGTGGTGCCTCAGGTACACCTGGGGCGGTGGTCAGCGCTGACCAGACCGGTGACTAGAGGCAATTCCCCATCATGCTGCACCCTCTGCCCCTCAAGGGAGCATCCGCAGGAGGGCACTCAATGCCTCCCACCCTCTTCCAGCATTGTCACAGCAACACTGGCAGGGAAGTCACCAATGACTGATGAACAGAATTCGGGTCAGCACCGCACTCTCCAGGTTCAAATGGACACACACAAACCAGACCCACACATGGATGCACCTGCCACAACTCAAACACCTTACCACCCTCGAAACCCTGTTCTATGACATCAGCCCTGCTCTGCCGGTTTTGGGATATCTTTGACACAGGCTGAGATCTTTCCTTCCCTGGCCTCCCCACTGCCAGATCTTGTCGAGTCACTTAGAGTTCAGAGGCAGGGATGCAATCGGGGAACCCCATCAGTGAAGGAAGAAATAAGAGAGGGGAGCTTTATGAGTCCAGCTGAAAACAAGAGGACACACCAGCCAGACTCCTTGGAGGAGCGGGCTACTCATTCCTCACCCCCAGTACAGTCTGTGGCGAGGACAAGACCCGTCTGCTGGCTGGCTCAGTGGGCTCCAGGTGGAACACACCCGCCCTGCATGAGCATGCCGCTACTTCTGACTTCACACAAAGAACTGATGTTAAGTTTCTATCACTTACATACAGCAACCTGCATTCAACTTTGTGCTCCCAAAGTCTGCTTCAAGTCGGCCGCTTGCAAACTGGGTCATAGTTTCTGAGAAAGCCTCTCTGTTGCTAAGCTAACTCCCAGGCTGAAGATGCCCCTGCTGTGGGCGAAAGAACAGAGCACGCGCCCCTGGTGCCTGAGTGTCCCCCCCATCCCGGGAACCTGTGCTGGAGCCGTCACCCTCAGCCAGACCTGGGGTTGAGGCCGGGACGGCTCTCTGGGAGCATCAGGAAACCGGTTGGAGAGAGGCTTACACGTGGGACCCAGGGGCCACCTCAAGGGGGGTGATCACAGCTGGGTCTGGGAGCTGCAGCAGAGAGAAGCCAGCATGAGGAGAGAGCCGCGGGTCAGGCGTGTTCACAGGCACGGGCGTGTGGAGCCCTGTGGGTTTATACGGCCTGAGGCCCACTTCATGCTCACCCCACATTATTTTTAATAAAGGTTGTGGAGCGGCTGCCCTACTTGCTAATTACGCCTTATGTCTTTAATCATCATATTCCGACGTAACAAAGGTATTGGTGTCTCCAGTTTATCAGAGGAAGCAAAATGCCCGCTTCCATATCTCAGAAACCAGTCGACCTTCAGCTGTGCTCTCCACGCAAGCATGGACGCCAGACTTCCTTTGCGAATCCCCTCCAGAAGCAAAAACGTGACTGACTCAAGACATTTGAGAGGCTGCCATCAACTGTAAACCTCGTAAGACTGTTCTCTAACATCAGAAAGAAATTCTACATCTCGAACACAACATTCACAAGAAATTCTCATGAGCGGGCACTGCCATTGCTTCATGGTGGAGATGGGGGCAGGGCACCCTGCCCAGTGGCCTGGAGGAGGCTGCTGACTCCCACCGCAAACCCAGTTTCATAGAACCACGCCAGAACCATGCCTTACGCTCGCTCTCAGTCAGACACATGGATCCACTTGGGGTTTTCCAAAACTATAAGCAGGCCATTGAGTATTCACATGTTTTAAAGGGTCTCTCTCTCTCTCTCTCTTCTTTTTGAGATGAAGCCTTGCTCTGTCATCAGGCTGGACTGCAGTGGCACGATCTTGGCTCACTGCAACCTCCACCTCCCAGGTTCAAGTGATTCTGCTGCCTCAGCCTCCCGAATAGCTGGGACTACAGGCACATGCCACCACACCAGGCTAATTTTATGTTTTTAATAGAGACAGGGTTTAACCATGTTGGCCGAGCTGGTCTCCAACTCCTGACCTCGTGATCCATTCGCCTTGGCTTCCCAAAGTGCTGGGATTACAGGCATGAGCCACCGCGTCTGGCCTAAAGGGTATCTTTAAAAGGATACCTTTTCCATATTGTTTTATTCTTTTTAGGAGTGCAATGAGTTTTATAGAAGCACTAACCAAATCAGCAAGGTGGGCTTCGGAGGGCACGTCATGCCCAGAAGCAGCCGCACCAAGTTCTGTTGCTGGTAAGGGCAGGTTTCTGGACTCTGCAGGAGGCATGTCTTAGCAGGGCGCTTCACTGGCACTCTGTGTTGGATGAGGACTGCCCGGCTCCCCCACATCGAGGTGAGCACAGGAGAGCTCATGTTTATACTTGTGCCATGGTCCACAGCACACCAGCGCTGTCCTTTTCAATTTGGGGCATTCATAAGTGTGATTGTGTTTTTCAGAGAGCTTTGCCTCTGAACTCAAAATTAACTTTCATGTGATTTTGGGCAACACCCCAGTTTTTCTGATTGACAGACGGAGCTAACACCTATCTGGTAGGGCACATGGGAGAGCTCTGCTGTCGCACGGTGAGCCACTCGCAACTGCGGCCGCTGCCATCTAAATTACTTTAAAATAAAGGACATTAGAAACAGTTGTTGAGCTGGATGGGTCTCATCTCATGTGCTGTGCATCACAGGTGTGTACAGGCTAACGTGTTTCCAGGTGGCACAGATACAGAACATTCCCATCACTGCAGAAAGTCCCACTGGCCAGTGCTACAGCCGAGTGTCTGGATGGCAAGCTGCCAGCAGGTGGGAGCTGTCGTGTGGCCGTTTTAATGCGCTGTCTACCTACTAAGAGAGCGTCTAATGTTCTGCTGTTGAGTTCAAGGGGAGTTTTCTAGAGGTTTGTCATGTATGTGAAAGTGCTCTAAACTCTGCTGAAAATAAGGCACAATAAAAAGCCTGTTGGCACCCACACACTAAGAATTTTCTAGGCATTGCTCACTACTTCCACATATCCAAGGGTCAGACTAGATTGGTGACTGTCTTTACCCCTACTTTTCAGTTCCCTAAGCTTTTAAAACATATATTAAACACTAATTTAAGAATTACACGAGTCCTCAAACAATCTGCTGATGTGACTTACTATAAAACAGAAATTTTACACGTATAGATCTGACAATTGCCAGCACACTGCAGTCAGATGAGAAAGGCAGGGTTTCCCAGGGAACGTGGTGCTCAATGGCTTGACAGCTGTGTCACAGCAATCCAGGCATGGGTTTGGAT